TCAATATCACTGGTTTTTCAATGTATAACCTAAAGGAAACGAAAGGAAACGGGTTGGTTCTTGAACTGCTCCAGCTGCTAATAAAATGAAAGACGATAGCTTATTTTCATTCATTTCTTCCTTTGACAAACTTTTATTGAGCTCCTACTATGTGCCAGGGACTATTCTAGAAGAATACCTATCAAGAAAACATAATTTTGCCCTTAAGGAACTCAATTTACCAGGGAGATTGTGGGAAGGGAGGGTTAGACAAAATACATGCAGTGAGGGAGAGATGCACAGAGGCTGCCCTTGCCATTGCCTGTCAAGCAAGAGTTGGCAAATGTTTCCAGGCCCTTATCGAGGAGCAGAAACATGCCCTTCTGCCTTATCCAGGATCGGTTGCCTCCTGCTTTGTTAAATGGGTCCATTTTTTAAATGGGTGCCATTTCTCCAGGCACGCCCAGCAAGTTGAAAGCAAGGGGCTGAGAGCCCATATTGAGTAATCAATCTCATGATCAATGCAATGATCAGTCTTTGAACTCAGTTATTCATTCACCAAGTACCTATTGATAACATAACATTTCTACCACCAGGCAAGGCAGAGGGAGACACACATGTAGGTAAAAGATGACTCTTGCCCTCAAGAGGTTACAATTTAGACAGAGATGTCATGTCCACCTTGGCCTTGGTGGTAGCTTCAGTATCCAGCACAGCACTCAGTACTGAGTAGGCTCTCAATAAACATTGGATTAAATGAATAATGGAATTATTGACATATGCAAAGTGCCAAACTAAGAAAAACAGACTCTCTGAGGCTATGGGAGCCCAGGATAAAAGCAAATGAATGGGCACTGGCGTCCTTGAAGAAGGCACTAGTGAGGTAACTACTGAAGCTCTGAGCAGTGGGAGAGATTAGGACTAGAGTGTGGGCTCCATTTTGGAGTCAGGTTATGGCAGGCTGAGGAATTTGTGCACATTTTCCTGAAGGTAATAGGGAGCCATGGAAGGGTTTTGATTAAATGAATGACTTAATTTTTAAAATGTTTTAGGAAGCTGAATCAGGCAGTGGTAGGGTCTGGCAGGAGAGCCCTGAAGACTTGGAGGTTCTAGGGTAAGAGTGCTGAGAATGCAAAAGATGCAATTTCAGAGGAAACTCTGCCCGGAGAGTAAACCAAATGGAATCCTGAATGTCAAACAGAAACAAACCACATTCATTTGCTAAATCTCAAACCAGATCTAAGTATTAACATTCTTTTCCTTCATAGTTCAGTAAAAAAAAAATAAAAATAAAAATTCAATAGCTACTGAACCCACTCAAACAGAAACAAACCATACGTTCTCTACAATTATTGAATATTTTAAACTACTGATCTAGTCTCATATCATGGTCTGAGCCTTTAAAGCGTTAATACCTTTAAGAACAAGATTCGAAGGTTTGAATCTTGTTGCCAGAGGCTGGCTCTTAGAAGGGAAAAAATACAGCTGCGTGTTTTGGTAGGGGCTCTTATTATGTGCTGGAGCACTGCTTTCATGCATTCTCTAATTAAATCTCCTGGGCCCAGAGGGGTTAAGAAAGTTGCTCAGGGTCAGACCACATATAAGTGACAGAGCTAGGGCTCAAATGCAGTCCTACTCCAGAGCCTGCTATGCCACACTGCCTATCTGTACATACTGCCAGCCTGCCCTCAGCGTCTTAAGAGGTAGGCAAAGATCATTTGGGAGCAATCAGAAGTTGACTCTCAAGCCTCTTCTTTCCCTTATACACAGGTCTTTCCACAGGGTAGTCCTTGTCCAGCTGTGCCTTTTTGAGCTTAAGTAATCTGTGTGTCCTCCCTGCCCAATCTCCAGGACTGAGTACAGTGCCAACAAACAGGAGACACTCAGTGTATGCTTTATGGATGGTCTCTTCAGCTATGTTCTGGAAAATACCGAAATCCAATAAAAATTCTAATGAATGGAAACACCTTTAAAATTCCACTATGGAAAATGGTGGTTCTCTAACATCAGTGAGCATGTTAACACAGATTCCTGAGCCTCACCTCCCAAAATTCTGCCAGATTCAATAGGATGGGGGCTGGGCTTAAGAATCAGAGTGTTAACCAGCTCTTTCTCAGAGACACATCCACATCCACATCCACACAGACACCCATAGGCACACACAAATAATGCACTGACACACACACACAGATGATTCTGACTCAGGATGTCCTATAACCACACTGATTTCAGTTTCTTAGAGAAACACTGATTTTAAAGAATCCTAAGATAAATTCATCTGTCAAGTTTAAAGGTTTTTCCTTGTGTGACTAATCCCTCCCTGATTCATTCTGGAGGTTAACCTTTATTTATTTATTTATTTTTTTAACTTCAGTGTTCTTACAGCAGGGGAGTCACATGTAATAACCACCTTGATGCCAGGGCATTTGGTTGTGATTTTCATTTTAAGAATCACAGTGTTTTAGATTCATTATTGCTTCCAGTGGTCAAGTTGTAAATTAGTTTGCAAGATCCAGGAGGACAGGAACTTTCATTTAATTTATTCACCAGGTATTTATGTAGCACCAACTACACGTCAGGCACAGTAGTGAATAAAGTGAATCAAGTCTCTGTCCTCATGGAGCTCACATTCAAGTTGGGGAGACAATAAGAAGCAGACACATGAGCGAGGAATGAGTGCTACACAGGAATGAGAGAAGGGAAATGTCTTTGTTTGGGCTTCCATAACAAGATGCCATAGACTGGGTGGCTTCAACAGCAGATATTTACTTTCTCACAATTCTGGAGGCTGGATCCGAGATCAGGGCGCCAGCATGCTCGGATTCCAATGAGAGCTTTCTTCCTGGCCTGCAGGTGGCAGCCTTCTCATTGTGTCTCCCTTCACATGGCCTTTCCTCAGTGACTGTGTATGGAGAGAGATCTCTCTCTCTCTCCTCATAATGCCACCAATCCTATTGGAATAGGGCCCCACTCTTATGACCCCATTTAACCTTAATTACCGTACCTCCTATAAGCTCTTCTCCAAATACAGTCACATTGGGAGTTAGGGCCTCAACATATGGATTTTGGAGGGGTCACAATTCAGTCCACAGCAAGTAATGTGATAGAGAATGACTGGGCTGGAAGTGAGGGGTGTCTTTAAACAGAGTGGTCAGGGAAGACCTCACCAAAGAAATGATAGGTTTTGTCCAGCAACTCAGCTGTAGTTCTTTATTGGGACATTGTTTTTTATGTGTTAGTGTTTTATCTTGTCTTGAGAAAGAAAACACTGAAATCTTTGAAGCCTGAATTCAGATCCCAGCCCTACCTCTTATGACTTGAGCAAGTTCCTAACCTTTCTGTACTTGAGTCTCTTCATTGGAAAAGAGGAAATAGTGATAGTACTTACCTCATAGAGCACTATAAGTATTTACAGTACTATCTAAAAGAGCTTCATGCAATAATGGAAATGTTCTGTAATCTGCTCTGTCCAGTACAATAACCAGTCACAAATGTGGCCCTTACAAATGTAGCTATTGAGCATGTAGCATGTGGTTGATGAGACTGAAGAACTGAATTTTTTTAAATTGTGCTTAATGTTAATTTTAATTTATATGGCCATATGTAACTAGGGACTGCCATATTAGCACAGGTTTAATGAATTCACATATGTAAAATGTTTAGCACTGTGCCTGGCACAGTGTCAAGTGTCAGTGATGTCATCTAGGATTAGTTTTAGTGATAGCAACAAGTGTTTCTCTGGCAGGTAGTAGTTCTTTTGGTTTTTTTTTAATAAATAACAATCACGCTAGGATTTAGTATAATGTCTTTCTCCCCAAGCTTATTCATAGCTATGATGGCCCTTAAGATAGCTCAGCTGCTTTTCTTTGAGCTTCATGGTAGCCAAAGCCCTAGGGGCCTGCCTGCTCCCTGGGGACTGACTGAAGTGTGCTTCTCCCTGTCCAGTCGGGTGGAAATCACTGGTGGGTACTATGAATACATCGATGTCAGCAGTTGCCAGGATATCATCCACCTCTACCACCTGCTCTGGTCGGCCACCATCCTCAACATCGTTGGCCTGTTCCTGGGTATCATCACTGCCGCTGTCCTTGGAGGCTTTAAAGACATGGTAAGGAAGGGAGTGTCTTCCCATTCCATGGAAGCCCCTGTTGGGGGCTAGGGTTGGGCTGGGGCAGTTAGGAACAATGGGGGCCTATGTTTTGAAGGGATGAATCAGAAGCAATTGCTTCAAGAATGTAACTAACTACCTTCAAAAACCTGAAAATATTTCTTGTTAACATGAGTTGCCTGTGTTCTTGTGGCACATTCTGAGGGTGGGGTGGGGGAGGGAGGGTGTTCTCAATTCTCTGGTTCATGCTGGTTATGTAAATATAGCCTTTTCCAACTACCCCCCCAAACACAAACACACTTTTAGTAGAAACCTTTGGGGGTAGTTTTTCCCCTAGCAAACTTGGGGAGAGATGGAAGGAAAGAGGTTTTTTTAGCTACAGGTAAGAGTAATGTCCGTTTCCCCCTCCCAGGAATTTTATCCTGGAGTTTCTTCAGAAAGAGCATCTGGACTCCCCCACACACACACATTTGAAGAGTCAGCCCTGGGCTAAGCTGCTTGCCAGGTCTTGTCCTCAACCACAACCTGTCTTAGCCTCCCCACATTCCCTAGCCTCTCTTTCAACTCCTTTCCACCTTTGCATGTGTGTCTGCAAAGGTGCACCAGGACTCAGCACCCAGTAGGTGTTTCATAATAGTGGACTCCTTTCTTCTTTTGTTTTTAGAGCATTTCTAAGCATTTATTTGCTTGTTTAATAAACCCTGATCTCAAATGATAGAGATAATAGCTTTAGAGCTATGGTTAGCCTCCTGGCTTCCTATGAGAATAGAATCACTTAAGGTGCTTTAAAAAACAGATTCCTGGGCCCCTCCTCCAGAGATTCTGATTTAATTGGTTTAAATTGAAGTCCAGGTGATTCTGATCTGTAGCCAGGGTTTCGTTCCACTGCTTTAAAGGAATGTCTCTCGTGTGTTTAGGGAATTATTTTGTGCCTAAAAGTGGTTTTCCTTTGACCCCAGGAATGATGTAGATAGTCTCTAGGCCCTTGGCTATTTCTGTCCCATTTTGGGGTGCCTGAAGAACAGGAACCTGAAAGGCAGTTTGTAATTTGACTCTGGACTGTCAGAAGGATGGGTAATGGAAAATGAAAGGTGGGCTAAAGAAAAACTCTGCAGTTTGGGGCAGCAAGTCCCTGCCAGGATCGGGCTGAATGGAAGTATTGAGTGTTCCTGCTGGTGACCCTAAGTTCAAAGAAATCCTTCTCTGCTCACGCCCAGCTTGTCTGTTTGTCTGTCTCTTTTTTCTCTCCCTCTTTCATATGCACACTTCTCACTCCCATACCCCTCCTCCCACTCAAGAAAACTCAAGCCCAGAGGAGTAGGGGAAGCATCAATAAGGTGGGGCCCTGGGAGGGAGAAGGAGGAGGGGGGAGAAGGAGAAGGGAGGAAAAGGAGGGAAAAGGAGGAGGGAGAGGAGGGAGGAGAATGG